GACGATCACCGTTTAGGAGATATCAATAATTAAATGATTATTGTTTTGTTGCTGTATGAGTGAATGAGGGAGGGATGACATTGTAGTTTATGAATCCACTCTTAAGTTAATCACCGACCAGGTGACCCCTTTTCTGGTAGCCTTCCCCATTTACTCAAGGGGATTGTAAACTATAAATTCAGTTATATCATCGTGTCAAGGGTGGCACGGGTGGCCCAGTCGTCTAAGGCGCCGCGATTCGCTGTGCAGAGTTGCGTCCCTTGGGCAAGCCAGAAAGCGATGATTGTGGGTTCGAATCCCGGTTCGCCCCGATTATTTTTTAAGGTTTGTCAGCACCATACCCGTGCTCGTGGGAGTCACCAAAGTGGTAAACGTCTGAGACCTACATCACTTCGGGCTTTCCTCCCACATTAAGCTGACACGCCGTGATATAACTGCAATAATGTTAAAAGCGGCGTTAAACCCAACTCACTCATTCATCGTGTCAAGATCATCGTAGGAGGAAAGATGGAAGTGATAAAAATCTTAGACATTTACAACTTTGGTACAACCCAGATATGGCGCTGAGAAACCTAAAATAATTTAATGTGTTACAGCAGACAATATTTTAAGTTTGTGGTTAGCATGTTGAAAATAATTTAAATTTCGTCCGTGAAGAATGATGTCGCATACACTATCAGATCAGTATATTTATGATATGAATATTGATGAAACAAATTTAACCTTCCTGTCAGTCAAAGGGGACACCCATGCTTGCCGTAAAAGTCGACTATGCTTGTAAAAGGCGACTAACGGGATCAGGTGGTCAGACTCGCTGACTTTGTTGATACATCTCATCCATCCCAATTGCAAGGATTGATGCTCATGATATTAATCACTGGATTGTCTGGTCCAGACTCGATTATTTACAGACCGCCGTCATACAGCTGGAATATTGCTGAGTGCGGCGTTAAACAACAAACCAGCCAACCAACCAAAGGGAACACGATGACGCACATGTAGGAATAGCATGCCTCAAAGATAACGTTGTATCAGTGGGTCAAGGTAATAAGTGTTACCTGTTCTCCCTTTCACAGGCTGGTTATTTGACTCTACCACGAATTACAATGCATCGTTCTACTTAGCTGGGTCCACTTTCATCCTTTCGGGGGAGTTGGATATGTTTGTTCTTCTCCTCCACCGACGCCAAAAAAGGAAACAGGCGGAAGAAGAGGAAGTGAAAACATTGGGCGTGTCTCAGACAGCTTGTTCACACACAACGTACAGCTTCGCACGCGTGGATGACTACACCTACTTTGCGGGACACGTGCTGAATGGCCACACCCACTTGAAGGGGAAAGTGCTGAATGGCGACGCCCACTTGGAGGGACACGAATTGGATGGCCACGCCCACGTTGAGAGACACGAACACGAAATGGAGACGTATATAAAGGATTGAAGGACAGAGACAGGAAAATGTTTTGTGTCAGGAGTGAGTGAGTGAGTATGGTTTTACGCCGCTTTTAGCAATATTCCAGCAATATCACGGCGGGGGACACCAGAAATGGGCTTCACACATTGTACCCATGTCGGGAATCGAACCCGGGTCTTCGGCGTGACGAGCGAACGCTTTAACCACTAGGCTACCCGACCGCCCCTTTTGTGTCAGGAACAGTGTTGATTAAGAATATTACTGTGGACGGTATGAGCAAAGCAACACTGGCCAGAGCTCAGGATCCGGGTCAGAGGTGGTCTTCATCAACCCATGCTTGTCGTAAGAGGCGACTAACGGGGACGGGTGGTCAGGCTTGCTGAGTTGGGTGATGGCTGTCATCGTATCCCAATTGCGTTGATCGATGCTCATGGTGTCAATCACTGGCTTGACTGGTCCAGGCTCGATTATTTACAGACCACCGTCATATAGCTGGAGTGCGGCATGAAACAACAAACAACATCTAATCTACATAAAGGTTTCCCTAAAGGCACTGTGGAACAAAAGAAGCAGATATTATTACCTATGAGGGTTGGGTGACTGTATGTACTAACTTTCCTCACTCTCCATGCAGCCAGCCTAGTACCTCTGCAACAGGCCAGCGCCAAGTAACGATCCATCACATCTCATACAGTCCATTCAAGATATTGCATGTTTCATCTGTTTCAAGTCTACAATTTAATAAACATATGTCATAGAATGGTTATCTTTAATTGAGCAAATGAAGAAGTTCTCCTTTGTTTACAGTGGTTGTATTTCTTCACGTTCTGTCATCGAAGCGACCCGTGAAGATCCGGGGTAGAATAGGTCTTCAGCAACCCATGCTTGCCGTAAAAGGCGACTATGCTTGTCGTAAGAGGCGACTAACGGAATCAGGTGGTCAGGCTCGCTGATTGGTTGATGCATGTCATCGATCCCAATTGGGTGGATCGATGCTCATGATGTCAATCACTGGGTTGTCTGGTCCAGACTCGATTATTTACAGACCACCGTTATATAGCTGGAATATTGCAGCGTTCAACAACGAACAAGCAAGCAACAAGCAAGTCATCGAAGCCATACAGAGCTAACCGGCCACTTTAATGTGTAAAGATATATTGTCGTGCACCCCACTGTCGCAGTTGTAGCAGCATATCTACATAATTATTCAAAACAATATCTAAAGATCACCAAAGGGCTTACATTAGGCCAGTCTGTCCTGATTTGACAATAAGCGGGCTTGTTCACAACCAAGAGAAAGGTCCTGTCACGTGATATGCAAATTAACCTGCGTCAGTTACGTAACACCAAATGCTACAAGGACGAGCCCCTGATACACGGGGGGCGAACTTTATAAACTAATATATATTTTAAGACCAATGTTTCAAATTGTTTCTCATTGCTGCCCACGCACATTGTGTTGAGAGTGATTGTGGGCGAGACAATCCTGTGGAGGGTGTGTCAAATCCTGGCGCAGAGTGAGTGAGTGAGTGAGTTGGGTGTAACGCCGCTTTTAACAGTATTCCAGTTATATCGCGGCGTGTCAGCTTAATGTGGGAGGAAAGCCCGAAGTGATGCAGGTCTCAGACGTTTACCACTTCGGTGAAACACACGAGCACGGTTATGGAGCTCACAAACCTAGAAGCATAATCATGGCACAATCATAGGTTTCTGGCGTGCCCAAGGGACGCAACTCTGCACAGCGAATCGCGGCGCCTTAGACGACTCGGCCACCCTGGCGGAGAGAGGTATTGAATCGGAGTATTTTTTCTGAAGACAAAGATTATTTCAAGATGTAGGCTACTTAAGATATGAAAGTCAATATCTATAAAAACAAATTAGATATTTTCAAACTATATCCATTGTGCCACATTCGCTTCGACTTGACTGCTGGTATTGATATAAGTATGGCAACACTGGTTAAAATAGAGTCAGGTTTTGAATTCATAAAAATCAAAGGCAATGTTCACTTGTGCTTGTGCGTATGTTCTACGCCCTTGTTCCGACTCAACATTGTTCTCTGTTCCTTAGGTTCGGTACCCCGCAATCGGTAAGCTAATGATTCTGTACCTCGCGTATGGATTTTGAAGTCACTGGGAATGTATTGACCTCCTCGAGCGACTATTTGTTTTACTCAAGTCTTTAATGAATTGCTGGTCAACTCAACTTGAGATGTATTAGCATGGGCAGGTGGTGACTTCGGAACCCATTTCTAACAGAAAAGCAATATTGCAGGGCGATTCTTTAAGTCCTTTGCTTTTCCGCTTGTCACTAAATCCTTTAAGCTTTTTGCTTAGCAAAGAGATCTTGGATCTCCACACCATAGACCCCGAAACCCCTTACTCACCTCCTTCACATGGATGAACTTGAACTCGATGACAATGGACGATCCACACTAAAAATCAGATTTTCATTGTCGAGTCCTTTTCTGGTATGTCCTTTGACTCTCCAAATGTAACATTCTTCATCTGAAACGTGGCAAGGTAGTAGAGGGAGGATCAGTCAGTTTATTTAGGGGAGGAGTCAATGATCATCACGTGGAAGCTCAGGCCAATAGTACTTAGATGCAGGTATGCAGGTTACGGACAGACTCCAGAATGCCCATATCAAAGAAAATCATCGGGCTGAGTACAAATGTAGACTTAAGAAAATACCGATTCTGTACCCGTCCTTTCTTTTGGTGTTGTTGTTTGGACGAAACAAGAAATTCAGGGTATTGACACCCTCACACGAAAAAACATGTCTGACCATATATCCCACCACCCTCGCTCTTCCGCCAAGCGCTTATGTTTACCGATTACAATGGGAGGGCGTGGTTTCATTAACAAACATTTATTTGTCTGATGATGCTCTTGTAAGCATGTCAAAACCCATAATGAAAACAAGGCATTCCACAGTTTTCGTAAACGAGCCAAATATGCGGGACATAATTTCAATGTCATTGTTGATTTTGTTGATGGTTCTCTACATCTGGACGGTACAGAAATGAGAGTCAACCAAGCGAAGTGCCAAATCGGCCCAGAATGAAATTTATGTGCAGTGTGTTGAGAGGATCTGCAACACTGGAGAGTCCTTTGCTTGGATGAAGTCGGTTGGCCCGAAAATGAAACAGAAGGATTTCTGCTTGCTGCCCAGGACCAGTCACTTCCCACTCGAAACCGTCAATGTGTGGTTTTGTATAAAAATGTAAATTTGAAATGTAGATTATGCAATGAACTTAATGAGACTGTCCAACACATTGTCAGTGGATGCCCAGGTTTTGCACAAACTCAGGATTTATTATTTGGCCGTAACCCACACTGAAGCACATGTAGTGTCTCCCTGCTCGCCATATGCAGCCGGTCACCCATCAGTGAATGGGTACCCGGGAGGATGTGATGGTAGCGTGATTTAACTTTATGGCGCCTCACAGGCAGCTTGGCTTTTATACTCCCCAGGAAGCTGAGAATGAAAACGGAATGCACACTGGTCCACAGATCGCATAAATATTAATCTAGCACTATGGGGGTTACCTGAAAGGAATTTGGCGCATCATAAATGGACTTACAAAGATGGTTTAATGGCGTTTATTATGTCGTAATCCCTTCAAGATGTACATGAAAGGAATGACGCATTCTGGAATAACATAAATCGTGGTACCTCTACACGGTCGATCACGTATAAATTAGGATCAACATTCACACAGCTACTTTTATTAAACAAACCGGGTAAAATCCAACTCAATAACCCACTCTCGGATGGGCTTAAGTAAAAGGGAAAAAACTTTTAGGCTCGGACCAGAAAATGTTCGTTGTCGACGAGCACAACCAAGCTTTCCATTCTTCCCATTACTGATAATCACTGATGTACAAGTACACCGGCTTCGGAAACCCGAAGACAACGTGGATGATGGCGTATACCAAAGGAAAACGCTGGTGAACGTGTGCTGTCCCTAGTGTCATACATAGGTCCAGGGCTTCCTGATTCTGGTATGTAAGATGGCCGTTGGCGTGCTGTAATGGAGTGGATAGGTCCGTCACACTTGTAGTATGCATATTCTGGGTACAACTTCCTTGTTTGAAGCTTAACCCGGAATTCAGGTTTGAGTTTCGTCTCCGTTAGAGCTTGTGCATTGTGTGTGCTCTGATAGACGCTTTCTTTTCGGTCTCTCTCCTGATTTGCTTCTGTTCTTCCCTCTCTCGGTCTGGCGACTGTGTCAACGGGGAGAGGTGATGCTTTTCCGCCGTCGTTGTCGTTGATGAGGTCATCTCCGTCCACAAGGATGACCTGGCTCCTGGCAAGGCCTCGTCCACAGAGAGTCACTCCAATGCTTCTAGGAGGATAGATGTTGTAGCAAGGGCCTGGGTTGTCATTGAGGACGGTGATTGGCCCCCTCTTCTGTCCTGACGATCTCTGCGTTCCCTTAGGGTCGGGGTAGTCATAGTCGGGAAGGAGACCCTCCCTCTCCAGGCGTCTCTTCTCTACCAGGCCAGCTTCCTTCATCTTCCTGATGGCTGTTCTCCTGGCTTTTGGAGTTGCGCTCGACCATTCCCTGTAGTTCATCTGTTACAGGGGAAAAACGCAAGAATAATTAAATATTACTGAAACAGGAGGTTGTATACGGATATAAAAGGTGAGGTGAGGTGAGGTGAGGTGAGGTGAGGTGAAATTGGGTTTAACGTCGCGTCCAAGATTATTGCACTTATATAGCGACGTGCATGCACGTGTGTGTGTCTGTGGCAGCTTGTACTAGTCCGGACTGATGCCGATTTATAGTGCTAGCTCACCGAGATACCATGCAGCAGTTTAACATGAATACCGCACTAAGACACAGTATACTGACTCCGAGCCGACCAGTTCTGTTTTAGCCCCTTAATGCCAAGCGCCAGACAGGGTAACAACAAATACCATCTTTTAACGTCTTTTGGTATGACGCGGTCGGGGATCGAACCCCGGACGTTCCACTCTCCGGGCGGACACTCTACCACTAGACCACGGAGGCGTTGGATATAAAAGGAGGTACATGTATACATAGTTCACGCAGATAAAGCCTAGTGGGTAAAGCGTTCACTCGTCACGTCGAAGGGCATAATGTGTGAAGCCCATTCTGGTGTCCCCGGCCGTGATACTGCTGGAATATTGCTAAAAACGGCGTAAAGCCTCACTCACTCACTCATTGAATATACCAGTGGTCACATAATCAAGTCGTAACGCTTACATGTGTGTGAAGATCCGTGGTAGAGAAGGTCTTCTGCAACCCATGCTTGCCGTAAGAGGCGACTAACGGCGACTAACATCGTATCTCATGTGTTCATTGCGTAGATCGATGCTCATGATGTCAATCACTGGATTGTCTGGTCCAATTTCGATTATTTAGAGACCGCCGTCATATAGCTGGAATATTGCTGAATACGGCGTAAAACAACAAACAAACAAACAAACATATGTGTAACTGACTTGACCGTTGATGTCAGTTAAACTGCTTAAACACTGTCTCCTTCAAGCATAACATGATTGTACCTGGCAATGCAGATCTTACTTACAAACGTTAATGCTTTAAATCAGTGTCAGTGCATATGATGAGAACAAAGAGATTTGTGTACAAACTTTGCACATGGGTACAATGTGTGCAGCCCATCTCTGGTGCCCCCCCGCCATTATATTGATGGATTATTACTAAAAGCGGCTCACTCACTCACTCACTCACTCACTCACTCACTCACTCACTCACTCACTCACTCACTCACTCACTCACTCACTCACTCACTCACTCACTCACTCACTCACTCACTCACTCACTCACTCACTCACTCACTCACTCACTCACTCACTCACTCACTCACTCACTCACTCACTCACTCACTCACTCACTCACTCACTCACTCACTCACTCACTCACTCACTCACTCACTCACTCACTCACTCACTCACTCACTCACTCACTCACTCACTCACTCACTCACTCACTCACTCACTCACTCACTCACTCACTCACTCACTCACTCACTCACTCACTCACTCACTCACTCACTCACTCACTCACTCACTCACTCACTCACTCACTCACTCACTCACTCACTCACTCACTCACTCACTCACTCACTCACTTTGCTCTTCCTTACTCTGTACAAGTACTTTTCTGTTCTATCATTTGATTCTCCCTGCTATTCCTCTATCTTGAAAACTGATAACTTGTCTTCATTGAATGATATTAAGTATAAACCAGACAATACCGAAATATATTTGTACTTTTCGCCCGTCCGGTAGATATATTTGCGTAGCGGCGAATAAGTGCCTGGTTTGATGAGATGGTTGTGGTTGGTTGGTTTGTTGTTTTACACCGCACTCAGCAATATTCCAGCTATATGACGGTGGTCCGTAAATAATCCTCTTTGGACAAGACAATCCAGTGATTGGTATCGATGACATGCATCAACCAAGTCGGCGAGCCTGGAGATGGTTATGAGACAACAAAGGTCCTTCTAGTGCCTGGCAGTCAGCTTGAGTTGTATTCTCCCCAGGAAGCTGAGAATGAACGATACTGACTGAAATACGTCTTGGAAATGTGCAATTGTGGTGTGAAGTGGTGTAGTATAACTAACTTCCCCAATACGCTGTAGCCTGGAAGACCACCAACCTTTAAACTAGATCTTTTTTGCTTGCTTGTTCGTTGTTTAACGCCACACCCAGCAATGTTCCAGTTATATGACGGCGGTCTGTAAATAGTCGAGTCTGAACCAAACAATCTAGTGATTGACATCGTTAGCATAGATCTAAGTGGGATACAATGACATGCATCAACCATTTCAGCTAGCCTGACTACCCTATCCCGTTAATCGCCTTTTACGACAAGCATATTCGCCTTTTACGGCAAGCATGGGTTGGTGAAGACCTTTTCTACCCCGGATCTTTACGGGTCCGATCGTTAATGTTCGAGTATTGGCATGATCCTGACGGGCTCATATATCTATAATCCATCCACCCTGTATCATTGGAGACACATGTACGTCATGATTGGGCTACATTACCTTTTCAAGCTTTGCCATGCAAGGTCTGTCTGCTCACTCCGCCATGTGACGTCATCAGCGCGGTCACACACCTGAAGTTGAAGCGTCCATGGCGACGACTGTGTACACAACCACACAGGTAGCGACTTCACGACCGTGGTGTGCGCAATCAATAAGGTGACCCCATTGTTGCCCTTACGCAACGCCGGGAATTTGCAGTAACTTATCTGTTTGCCGGTGTGACCGAGTGCGACATTCGTCACCACTCGTCCCTTTCCGTAACGTGTCGATGAATGTGTAAATACGACAAACCAATCAGAATGCGCGTATGACTTGAAGTACGTCGGCCAAAGAATCCCTCAGGAATCATTTTTGATTTTACATATGTCTTGCATTAAAAGTATACCCAAGGTACAGTTAAAAGTGTTCAATCGTACTATATAATACTGTTAGTTTCAAATTGTTTCAATAGCATATTTAATATATACGATATATGAGGGAACTTTTCGTGAATCATTACGCAACGTGTTGACAATTCTTTTAGCTATGCCCGTTTGCGCTTAGACGGAACCCAGTCGCAAACATGGACACGAGAGGGGCACGAGTCGCTATTCAGCTTGTCACGGTATAAAATACGAAGTTGGTCACGATTCATCTTCCCGAGACATGAGAGTTAACTGACTTTAAAAGTCAACACGTCTGAGTGTGTTGCCGTGGACAGTTGGCTCAACATAATGCTGAGTGTAACCTGAAGCAGTGCGCGTGTAAAGGGAAGTAACTGTGTTTAGTATTGCAGTATTTCACTGTCGGGGTGGTTGGTTGGTTGGTTTGTAGTTTAACGCCGCACTCATCAATATTCCAGCTATATGACGGCGGTCTGTAAATAATCGAGTCTGGACCAGACAATCCAGTGATTGACATCATGAGCTTCGATCCACGCAATTGGGATCGATAACATGCATCAATCAAGTCAGCGAGCCTGACCACCCGATCCCGTTAGTCGCCTTTTACGACAAGCATAGTCGCCTTTTATGACAAGCATGGGTTGCTGAAGACCTATTCTACCCCGGAATCTTCACGGGTACTGTCGGGGCGGTGTATTCGAGACGTGGAATATTGAGTATTTTGTTTTTTCTAAAATGTCAATAAATAACAAAACGTGCGGCAGACTTGATGATGCGATGGTGTCTGAGAACCAAGACATTTATTTCGCCTTATATTAAAAAATATGGAGTATAACCATCTCGCATTATTTTGTTTGATTGTATGTGTAATGTGTTGTGCATGCGTGTTAATGGCGTGGGCGTTATGTTGGTGTGTGTGTGTCAGTGTGTGGAAGTACAGATGTACATGTGATTTTGGTTTAGTTTGTTTTTCAACGCCGCACTCAGCAATATTCCAGCTATATGACGGCGGTCTGTAATTAATCGAGTCTGGACCAGACAATCCAGTGATTTATGCCATGAGCATCGATCTACGCAATCGGGATCGATGACATGCATCAACCAAATCAGCGAATCTGACAACCCGATCCCGTTAGTCGCCTCCTACGAAAGCATAGTTGCCTTTTACGGCAAGCATGGGTTGTTAAAGACTAGGATTGACTGGGTATCCTTATAAATTAAATTCGACAACGAAGACATGTGTCATCTAGTTACAGTTTTATAAAAAACAATTGTATAAATTAAAGCAGACAAAACTTATGAGATTGATAAACATTTCAGGTGTAGGAATACACACTGTGGGTTATATGAATGTTATAGGGGAAGTGTATGACGAGAAATCACGAGCTGCGGGGGTGTGTTGAGGTGACATTTATACCAACGGACATGGTAAAATGTACTGAATCAATGAGTGAGTCAGTCTGTCAATCAATCACCACTGTGGGGGACACCAGGGTGTGTCTACAAACTCACATCATGAATATAGGATTATGGCATTGCTGTGCTATTTGTTGTCAATGTATTGTCGACCCGTGAAGATTCGGGTAGAGAATTGGTATTCAGCAACCCTTGCCTGCCGTGAGAGGCGACTTTGCTTGTTGCAAGTGAGTGAGTGATGGGTGTGTTGGGTTTAACGCTGCTTTTAACAGTTTTCCAGTTATATCGCAGCGTGTCAGCTTAATGCCGTAATAAAGTTCCTTACCAAGGAGGGATGCAAAGGAAACATTATCCATAATCGCATGTGTAAAGTGATGGGTGAGGATGCTCCTGACTATTCCACAGTTTGCCGTTGGTCTCTACAGTATGGAAGGGGGAGTCCATAGACGATGACCCAAGGTCAGGCAGCCTTCAGATGCCACCCAACCGGAAACCATTGCTGCTATAGAAAGAAGAATTTTGTCTGACCGACAAGTGAAAGTATCTGAACTTTCTAGGGAATTCCAAATATCAGTTGGAACTGTTGTAACCATTATTCATGAGCATCTTGGTATGTCCAAGGTATCAAGATGGGTACCTAGAAACCTCCGAGCTCAAGATCGCCATCAGAGAACTGAAAGTGGTCGAGACTTCCTGGATCTGTATACTGCTGATGAAGCCGTATTTCTTTCTCGTCTATTGACAGGTGATGAATTCTCCGCCTCCGAGGAAGTTTCGAACTCAACCATCGGCTGGCAAGGTAATTGCCACCATATTTTGGGATGCAAGAGGCATATTATTGATTGATAACATGCCACCAAAAACTACAATCAATGGACAGTATTATGCTAATGTAAGGAAATAATTGCGATAATCTATTTGCCAGAAACGCCGTGGGATGTTAACACGTGGTATGCTACTTTTGCATGACAACGCTCCGGTTCACAAGACGAGAATTACACAGGCCGCCATATGTGAATGTGGATTCCCCCAGTGACTATTTCCTGTTCCGGCAATTGAAATTTGCTCTACGTGGAAGACGCTTCTAGGACGACGATGACATAAAGGCTGCCACAGGGGCATGGTTAGAGGGCCAATCTGCGGATTTCTATAAAAGTGGTATTAAAAGCTTGAGGGACAAATTAAATAAGTGTATTGAGGTGAATGGAGATTATATTGAAAAATAAAAGTGCAAACGATATTCTGCGACTTGGTCTTATATTGAATTTGCAAAACTTATTGAACGCCCCACATCTTATGCTACAACTAATAAAGATAAAAACTACTTGAAATAGAAAGCTAAAACAATATCCCTGAAGACTGTATATACAATATCCTGTTGCATGAATCAGGTGATTGTTTAATTGCACATATCTTGACACGCCAGTCAGGAGCCAATCAATGGATTGACAAACCCAAGCACATACATGTTATGCTACAACTTATAAAGATAAAAATGCGATTTAGACATGTATTTCGTAAAACCCAAGCGAGCGAAAAAAACACAGTTGAGCGAGCCGGCACCTTTGCTGTTTCATTCCTTCTCGGCCTTCAGCCTCGAAGGATGGTATGAATGTTCACGAAGGCGGTTCTCATATCTTCGATTCCCCCACCAGACACGGTTGTAAGGGAGACAACTCCTCAGGCCCTCTTGACTGACGTAGGCATTCATGTCCCCCATTTGTTAGCGTCCTCAGCCCAGGCCCATCAAGATTCACTGCACTCTACAAGTTCAACACACAACAAATATAAATAAAGTCATATAATTTCTCAAATTACTTGTAGGTCAGTAGGTCAATACCTCAATCCACTGTCAACACACGAACACACTTAATGTGACACTAATATTCAACAAGCCAGTCTTTCTGGTTTCTTCCCCTCCCTGACAGGATATCTTCCAGTCGGTGTTTCTGTCACAGGTACAATTTCAGTCTCTGGGGGCCTTGTCACACTCTCCACTTCGATATCCCCAGACATAGGCGCACTTTCAGACCTATCAGTGATTGTTATGTCCTCAGTAGTGGATGTTACTGATAGATCAGGTGTACGTGGCATAGTTATCAGCTGATCAACATGGCGCTTCCACTCAAAGTTCTCTACCTGAACCTTGTAAGTCACAGGACCTAACGCTTTTAGTACAACCCCCTTGAGCCATAGTTCGGTACGACCCCTGTAGCCCCTTACCAGGACTGGGTCGCCAACTTCGAAATGCCTCACTACATCCACTTTCGGAGACACTTTTCTTTGAACTGAAGAAGCAGGATCTGGTCTCAGTAATTCGAGTCGAGTACGAATATGCCTCCCCGTGAACAGCTCTGCAGGGGTCGTTTTCGTTGTACTGTGAGGTGTGGCTCGGTCGGACAGCAGAAATATGCATAGTCGCTATTAAAGAGAACGGCGAGGATAGAATATGTTTAACTCCATTTTTCTTCAGAAATGACTTGGTGAAAGGTTAACTGTGGTCCATTATCAGAGATTGGCTGATCAGGAAGGCCATAGGAAGAAAAAGAGCTTTCTCAAAACATTTATGGTACTTATTGTTGTTGTTGTTGCTTTCATCTGAACTACTTCAGGCCATATGGACATAGCATCCACCACAATAAGAAAGTTCTCACCCATAAAGGGGTCAGCAAAGTCAACGTGAATCCGTTGATAAGGACGGGAAGGCCAGATCAAGGGATATTGTCTGGTTGAAGGCAGGACCGGTTGTACGTTGACAGGAAGCACAGTTTTTAACTAGCTGCTCAGCTTTGTTCCTTTCTGCAGAAGTATATTTAATGGTGCACACACGGTGGACATATCTGGTATAAACTTCCGGTAATAGTTCACACACCCCAAAAAGGATTGTAGTTCTGTCAGATTTGTTGGTCGCGGTGCATTCCGGATTGCTTCAATCTTGGATTCCGTCGGATGAATACCTTGACTGTCCACCCTGAAACCAAGATACTCCATAGATGGTTGAAGGAAAGTACACTTCGACTTGTTCAGTTTGATGCCATAAGAATCCAAACGTTCAAACACATTACTATTATCTGTACCAGTGACATGCAGGTCATCTATGAAATCGCCAGTTGCTGGCAGACCCTGTAACACCTGGTCCATGACATTCTGGAATACAGCTGGGCTGATGCGACCCCAAAGGGTAATCGTGTATAACATTAAAGGTCCTTATGGGTGTTCTTAGTCACATATGGATTCATCATCAAGTAACATTTGTTGATAGGCTTGTGATAGGTCTAATTAGGTGAATTTCGTCCCACCATTCAGTTGGTTGAGCAAATCTTCTTGCACAGGCAAAGGATACTGAGACACCTCCAAGTATCTGTTCACTGCCAGCATATAATCCCCACATATGCTCACAGCGCCTGAAGGTTTGAGTATCGGTACAATGGAGCAGCCCATTCAGAATATTCCATTTTCTTAATGACCCCAATCTTCTCTAGTCTGTCCAGATCCTCAGCTACTTTATCCTGTAGTGCATATGGAACAGATCTTGGTTTATAGAACTTTGGTTTTGCTCAGGGTTTTACAGACGGATGAAGCTTCCCAAAATGCCATCAAATAGGGCTCAATACTTTGATAACAATTCTTCCAAGTCCTTCTGGTAATTGTGAACTCGCACGGTATTGATTCTGCCAATGGAATACCAGTCAAGCTGTATCTGAAATAGCCAATTTCTGCCTAGGAACTCCAGCATAGTAGGCTCAAACGACTCTCCCTAAATTTGACTCTAGAGTCATATGGGCCTAGGCTCTCATGACTCCCACAGCCAGACTCAAAACACTCCTTGCTCAGGTAACGCCCCTACTGGTCCAAAAGTCCCCTTGTTTTGAAATAAAATGATTACAGAAAAGATGAAACATTTCTTGTATTATAAAGGTTTTCCACCCCTCTTCCTCATTTTCTATTCCAAAATGTCAGGTTAAGAACGATCCCCAATATTGTGTGTCCGATGTTTTAGTACCAGTTATTTTATTACAGTTTTATATTTCACTTATTTGGATAAACTCAAGGTGCCTCTCTTAAATCACTATACTTTTCTTAACCTATAATTTATTTTCAGAATACTCCCTGTGTCCTACATCCAATTCTTGAGTATCAGGCTCAAACTACTCCCCCTATTCTATATCCGATTCTTTAATATCAGGCTCAAACTACTCCCCCTATTCTATATCCAATTCTTTAATATCAGGCTCAAACTACTCCCCCTATTCTATATCCAATTCTCAAGGCTCAAACTACTCCCAGTTCCTGTCACCACATATACTGGTAAAGTGGTAGACTGCTCATTATAGTCAACATCCACCTATATTTTTCCCCAAACAGGCAACTTTTCTGCAGTATAAGTTTCCGAGTAAGGCAGGTTGGTGGTTTTCAGCGGAATATGCCTAAATTCTCTCTTGTACTGCTCCTCCAAAATCAAAGTTACTCCAGCTCCAGTGTCCAACTCCAATGAAATGTTTGTCCCTTCAATACACATAGGAATGTAGATAGGCTTATCACCTGCAACATATTTTACAGTGAATAAAGTATTACTCAATGCGTCCTCATAAGAGTCTGCATCCTCATCACTGCCTTCAGGTATATCATGTTCCACTGTTGTATCCATATACATGACTTGGGATGATTTTTTTCTTAAGTTTTTCTGGTTTATGGGCCTTCTTCTCCTGTGATTTCTCATGGCACCTCCTGCTAATGTGTCCTTGCATCTGACAGATATGACATATGCTTTTCTCGCAAAAAAGCGTTTGTGGTTTTTCTTTCCACAGCGCCAACATTCACGGTTATCCGGAGACAGAGCGTTGTTTTTGCTGATAAAATTTGAATCTTTCAGCGATAACTAATGGTTTTGGATTCACATGTTTTTTTAACGACATCAACCAATTCTGCATATGACTTGTCAGCGGGTTTTGCCAGAGAGACTAAAGTCCTCATGAGAGAGAGTAGGTTTCCTTACCTACTATGGTAAGCAATATCGCTTTCCTTTTCCCAGCATCTTCAACATCGTTAGCGACGAAATACTGATCAAATCTTTCAATGTACTTAATCCAGTCTGCATTTTCAGACACTGAAAATTCCTCCATTCGACCACATGTCGAGGACGACATTTTTAACAGCACCTCGTCGCCAAAATTGTAGTGTTCTTTCAATAGCCAAGAGACTACCTGCCAACTTCCCACTTCGTTTATTCATCAGACAAGTGACAGTCGGTAGCCAAGCCCGAGCACGTATTGCAATTGCGTTGCGTAACAATGTTTTCCGAACCGCTAATAATACTACATGAACGACTGTGGAATGTTTACTCGGTGTCAAATGTCAGTCAATCAACCACCACCACAGTCTTAAATTTTACTCCATCAAAGTCTTTCAGTCATTAGAAAATATTTTCCATATTTGAATTTTTCAGTATTGAAACATGATGTAATTGATTAGGTGAGTCTTAATATAATCTGTAATACCTCAGTAAAGAGTCTTTCAATTTAATTGTTCATGTCACGTGACACATATTATAATGCTGGAGTAACGATAGAAAACTGACTCAGAAATGTATGGTCAAAGCACGTGAATGACCTCAGATATTGACTTGTCATGTGATCAACATTGACTTCATTTGGTAGAAAACAACATGACATCTGCGAGTTGCAATGTATGGTTCGCCATTCTTTCGGGAATTAATTTAAACTTAATTCAAATTGTACTACACAGAAGACCTTTTGGATACCAACTGTGCACATGAAGTAGACCTTTTCCATACCAACTGTGCACACGAATTAGACCTTTCGGATTTCTACTATGCAGGAATGAGACCTTTTGGATTCCAACTGTGCACACGAAGTAGACCTTTTGGATTCCAACTATGCACACGAAGTAGACCTTTTGACACCAACTGTGCACACGAAATAGACCTTTTGGATACCAAATGTGCACATGAAGTAGACCTTTTGGATACCAACTGTGCACATGAAGTAGACCTTTTGGATACCAACTGTAAATACTAAATGTAATTAGTAAATACTAAATGATGGCGCAGCAAACAATCGGAAAATATTAATTTAAGTTGGGATAAATGTGTATATATTTCATCTATAATTGAGGTACAAAACAATGGATGTTGAAGCTAAAGCATCTATATCTCCACTTCTTCCACCTCCCGTACCAAGATTGAAATCAACAATTAACAGTGTTATTAATGGACACTCAATTAGCCATCAACACGCTCCTTTTAATTAAACGAGAAAATGATGTGGACGAAAGGTTAGGAACCGAACAAGGAAGTATGTATAGAACACCCTTATCAGTTTGCATGCACTGATGTACTTTCTATGCTTCCAGGATGAACTTTGAACCAAATGCATTAACAAGCAGCATAATTCAGCAGCAAAGACATCAAAGTGACCAGGTATTCACTGTGGACGAAAAGGGACCAAATTGGCTATCGTGCTGTGATGGAGCTTGAAAAATTGAACCGCTTGCCACAACATGGCGTCAACTCTTGGGGATGATGCTCCTTCCTTCGTCCATGTTTACATGTTGGCAGTGGAGTTCAAAGAGGGATGGGAGTGCCTCGAAGATGGTCCAAGTTCAGTAAAACAGATCCGAGTATATCATGAGTATGTGATTGAATGACTATGAAGTCTTGATGATATCAGGTGCCCCACTGGTTGGGTTCATCTCAACCAAATCAGCATGAAAACAATATATATATATATATGTTTATGTATTTATGTATTAATCAAATATATATATATATACTTTGTGTGATATGTGTTGCTTTGTACTGTTTTAGTCAGAAATGAGTATTTGATTTGTGTCCTTTAAATTTTATAATGTTACTTGATTTTGGTGTTTCAAATCTGTTTGAAACCATTTTACAGAGCGTATCTATCACATTAAATACAAGTGTAAATAAAGAAAACCGTAAAACACAAGATTTGTTTTATTGGTAGAGATGTGAGAAAACAATCTGGAGACGTCTGTTGCAGAAAGTTGCAAATCTGTCTTTCTGGGATTTCTTGATTTGAATCGTGTGCTGTTTTGACATTTCAAAGATGCCAATCGAAAGTAGTCTATGTTGGCCATACAGTCATAGGCGTACGTGCGAGGGGCCAGTGTGGTGCACGCACTGCAATTTGCCTGGCTACGTTCCTTAAGGATGCCTGGATAATCCGACCGTGGACCTGAAAATGATCCTTGGTTTGCAAGCGCTAAACTGTGTTGGCAAACCAGAAATCACGAGCGTGACATATCTTGGATTCAGCGATCCGGGTGCCCAAATGGGTAGCACTCCACCGTCTGCCATGACTTGTCCCCACAGCACATGTAGCAAGTTTAGGACGTCTTCACTGAACAGTGGTCATGGGTGGCCCGATTGTCTAAAGTGGGACTGTTCTCTGTACAGTGTTGCCTGACTGATATACTGTTCAATGGCAGCATTAAACTAAACTCACTAAGGGACCGATCATGTATTATAATACAACCGTTTACGTCACATTTTGTCATTACCCTCATGTTCCCCATTACATCAATGTCATGACGCCCCGTCACCCCAAAATACATTACCAGTCCGTGAATGAACAAATTTATAATCGTTTTATTTGTTTTTTACATTGTATTTATATTTTCCATGACTCCGGCTCAGAATACAGATGTGATCATCCCCAACACCTTCATCTTCCCTGTATCATAATTTTATTTTCATGCGTCGGTCCCGCTACCCTTATCAGTTGGCAAAAACTTGTGGTTGGCATAAGATTTCAATATTTATATCTGTCATCATACTGTTAAATATCAGAGTTCAAACGTTCGTACATGTTCGTTTGGTTCAAACATTTTCCCCCTTTCCTGAGGTGCAGCAAGCTCATTAGGTGATTCAGCCTCAGCTGCTCTGTGATATTTCTTTAACACAAAAACCGAGTGCAACCGCAGCACAATATGTATAATTAGCAGAATAACCGACACCAAAAACAGCAAATACGAGAACCACAGATAGGTCACTTCCTCCATCAGGTATCCTAGCAACAATGGTGTCGCCATTCCCCCCGATGCTGCGCATATTACAATAACAGACGTGACCCTACCCGTGACCTTGATGACATGCTCTTCGACCCATGTGAAGGTCGTTGGATATACGATCGATGTTGCAAGGCCAATCCCCACTGATGAAATCCAAATTCCAATAGTTACGGCAAAGAGAGAACAGACCAGGAATGCACCCAAACTCGCTGACAGAATTACAAGACAAAGAATTATCATTGACGATGGAGTCAACATATTTATGAAAAAGATCCCAAGAAACCGAAAGGCAGCAAAGCTTCCCCAAAACACAGACGTTACCAAAGCTCCATCTGGCTTTGTCCAGCCTAACCCCTCCACAGTAAAGACCGCCAGGAATGACATAAACGTCTCTTCTAGCGCACAATAACAGAAAAAGAAAGCTCCAATCATAGCCACAGTTATCACATAGACAGGGGGTGGTATGCAATGACGGTCAACTTCTTGCTCGTCTTCCGGCTTCCGGTTTTTATCAGCCTTACGGGGAAAGAACTCCACGAAGAAAGGAATAGCAGCAGAAAGGAAAAGAACTGCTGTGATTATGAAAGCAAAAAGGATTTGCGATTTCGGAGCGTCTTCATTAGCTGCAGTCGTCATGTTGTAACTAGTCCCATTTAATCTAAAACTGTCCTGGACGTACGCTTTGGTTGTATTGTATCCATACTCAAGAAAATGGGACTCGTTGACAGGGACTGTTGTGATCGTGGTATGGACGGACTTTGGGGCTAGGAAGGGTTCTGTTGCCAGAGGGGCTACAAGACCTCCCAAGGCGAAACTGAAGTGAAGAATCTGCATAAAAACACGACTGTCCTTGCCCCAGAGTCGTATCAAGTCGGTATTGCCACCTGAAAGAAGAAGAGTCTGATTGGTTCTTGCATGTTACATTACAGTAAACTACGGTTCTAACGAACACGCTTATAACGAACTGACGGATATAACGAACTTACTTTTTTGGTCCCGACTATTTGCTGTAGTTATACTGTATCTATGCTTACAACGAACTACATATAAAACGAACTAAAATTGGTAGTCCCTTTGAGTTCGTTGTAATCGCAGTTTACTGTATTTATTATGTAAAACATGATAGTTACAGCTAGGCTCAGCTAACTCCCTCACTGGACCCAAATGACACCCCTTGTTTTGAAATAAAATGATTACAGAAAAGATGAAACATATCTTGTGATATAAAGGTTTTCAACCCTCTTCCTCATTTTCTATTCTGAAATGTCAGGTTTTTAACGACATCAACCAATTCTGCATATGACTTGTCAGCAGGTTTTGCCAGTGAGACTAAAGTCCTAATGAGAGAGTAGATTTCCTTACCTACTACGGTAAGCAATATCGCTTTCCTTTTCCCAGCATCTTCAACATCGTTAGCGACGAAATACTGATCAAATCTTTCAATGTACTCAATCCAGTCGGCATTTTCAGACACTGACAATTTCTCCATTCGACCACATGTTGAGGACGCCATTTTTAACAGCACAGCGCACACTACAACAAGTGCTATCAGTCCCATGAACACAGAGCAAATGTTCGTCACCAACTAACAGATTGGTCTTCTTGGTACCACACATGTAGAATCCCATCCTCGTCCCAAAATTGTAGTGTTCATTCAATAGCCAAGAGACAACCTGCCAACTTCCGACTTCGTTTATTCATCAGACAAGTGACAATCGGTAGCCAAGCCCGAGCACGTATTGCACGTGCGTTGCGTAACAATGATTTCCGAACCGCTAATAATACTACATGAACGACTGTGGAATTTTTACTCGGTGTCAAATGTCAGTCGATCAACCACCACCACAGCCTTAAATTTTACTCCATCAAAGTCTTTCAGTCATTAGAAAATATTTTCCATATTTGAATTTTTCAGTATTGAAACGTGATGTAATTGATTAGGTGAGTCTTAATATAATCTGTTTTACCTCAGTAAAGAATCTTTCAATTTAATTGTTCATATCACGTGACACATATTATAATGCTGAAGTAACGATAGAAAACTGACTCAGAAATGTATGGTCAAATCACGTGAATTGCCTCAGATATTGACTTGTCACGTGATCAATATTGACTTAATTTTGTAGAAAACAACATGACATCTGCGAGTGGCAATGTATGATTTGCCATTCTTTCGGGAAATGATTTTAACTGAATTCAAATTGTACTACGCAGAAGACCTTTTGGATATCAACTGTGCACATAAAGTAGACCTTTTCCATACAAACTGTGCACACGGATTAGACCTTTTGGATTCCTACTATGCACACGTGGCAGAATTTTTGGATATCAGTAGATCTTTTGGATTCCAACTATGCACATGAAGTAGACCTTTTGGATATCAACTGTATTGTACTGTTTTAGTCAGAAATGAGAATTTGATTTGTGTGCTTTCAATTTTATAATGTAACTTGATTTTGGTGTTTCAAATCTGTTTGAAACCATTTTACAGAGCGTATCTATCACATTAAATACAAGTGTAAATAAAGAACACCGTAAGACACAAGATTTGTTTTATTGGTAGAGATGTGAGAAAACAATCTGGAGACGCCTGTAGCAGAAAGTTGTAAATCTGTCTTTCTGGGATTTCTTGATTTGAATCGTGTGCTGTTTTGACATTTCAAAGATGCCAATCGAAAGTAGTCTATGTTGGCCATACAGTCATAGACGTACGTGCGATGGGCCAGTGTCGTGCACGCACTGCAATTTGCCTGGCTACGTTCTGTAAGGATGCCTGGATATTCCGACCGTGGACTGGAATCCAAGATTCGACATGATAATAATCCTTGGTTTGCCAGCGATAAACTGTGTTGGCAAACCAGAAATCACGAGCGTGACATACGGATTCAGCGATCCGGGTACCCCCATGGGTAGTACTCCACCGTCTGCCATGACTTCTGCGCCACAGCAAATGAAGCAAGTTTAGGACGTCTTCACTGAACAGTGGTCATGGGTGGCCCGATCGTCTAAAGTGGGACTGTTCTCTGTACAGTGTTGCCTGACTGATATACTGTTCAATGGCAGCATTAAACTAAACTCACTAAGGGACCGATCATGTATTATAAGGGGAATTTGTCTTAGGACTGTCATGTTTTAACGCCACCCCCCCAACCGTTTACGTCACATTTTGTCATTACCCCCATATTCCCCATTACATCAATGTCATGACGCCCCGTCACCCCATAATACATTACCAGTCCGTGAATGAACAAATTTATAATCGTTTTATTTGTTTTTTACATTGTATTTATATTTTCCATGACTCCGGCTCTTAATACAGATGTGATCCTCCCCAACACCTTCATCTTCCCTGTATCATAATTTTATTTTCATGCGTCGGTCCCGCTACCCTTATCAGTTGGCAAAAACTTGTGGTTGGCATAAGATTTCAATATTTATATCTGTCATCATACTGTTAAATATCAGAGTTCAAACGTTCGTACATGTTCGTTTGGTTCAAACATTTTCCCCCTTTCCTGAGGTGCAGCAAGCTCATTAGGTGATTCAGCCTCAGCTGCTCTGTGATATTTCTTTAACACAAAAACCGAGTGCAACCGCAGCACAATATGTATAATTAGCAGAATAACCGACACCAAAAACAACAAATACGAGAACCACAGATAGGTCACTTCCTCCATCAGGTATCCTAGCAACAATGGTGTCGCCATTCCCCCCGATGCTGCGCATATCACAATAACAGACGTGACCCTACCCGTGACCTTGATGACATGCTCTTCGACCCATGTGAAGGTCGTTGGATATACGATCGATGTTGCAAGGCCAATCCCCACTGATGAAATCCAAATTCCAATAGTTACGGCAAAGAGGGAACAGACCAAGAATACACCCAAACTCGCTGACAGAATTACAAGACACAGAATTATCATTGACGATGGAGTCAACATATTTATGAAAAAGATCCCAAGAAACCGAAAGGCAGCAAAGCTTCCCCAAAACACAGACGTTACCAAAGCTCCATCTGGCTTTGTCCAGCCCAACCCCTCCACAGTAAATACCGCCAGGAATGACATAAACGTCTCTTCTAGCGCACAATAACAGAAAAAGAAAGCTCCAATCATAGCCACAGTTATCACATAGACAGGGGGTGGTATGCAATGACCGTCAACTTCTTGCTCGTCTTCCGGCTTCCGGTTTTTATCAGCCTTACGGAGAAAGAACTCCACGAAGAAAGGAATAGCAGCAGAAAGGAAAAGAACTGCTGTGATTATGAAAGCAAAAAGGATTTGCGATTTCGGAGCGTCTTCATTAGCTGCAGTCGTCATGTTGTAACTAGTCCCATTTAATCTTAAACTGTCCTGGACGTACGCTTTGGTTGTATTGTATCCATACTCAAGAAAATGGGACTCGTTGACAGGGACTGTTGTGATCGTGGTATGGACGGACTTTGGGGCTAGGAAGGGTTCTGTTGCCAGAGGGGCTACAAGACCTCCCAAGGCGAAACTGAAGTGAAGAATCTGCATAAAAACACGACTGTCCTTGCCCCAGAGTCGTATCAAGTCGGTATTGCCACCTGAAAGAAGAAGAGCTTGATTGGTTCTTGCATGTTACATTACAGTAAACTACGGTTCTAACGAACACGCTTATAACGAACTGACGGATATAACGAACTTACTTTTTTGGTCCCGACTATTTGCTGTAGTTATACTGTATCTATGCTTACAACGAACTACATATAAAACGAACTAAAATTAGTAGTCCCGTTGAGTTCGTTATAACCGTAGTTTACTGTATTTATTATGTAAAACATGATAGTTACATTGGTTTAAGTGTGTCGGTGAGTGGCTGGTGGCGGCTGACAGAGAATCACACTCACAAGAGTTGAATCTGGGAGTCCGGATCAGTGTCATATCTGATAATGGGTCATTCTGCCCAGATCGTGTGGTCAGGCTTGCTGACTTAGTTGATGCATATCATCGTATCCCAGTAGCGTAGATTGATGCTCCTGATGTAACAGATGTTATATTTGGAATAACACTGGAAAAGTATAAATTATGGGGACTTTCTTCTGGTCTTTTTTGGCGTTGAGTTGTCGAATTTGTACTTTACCGAGAAAGTGTTATCCCAAATATGACATTTGTTACATTTGATCACATTCCAAATGGCATGATGTTAATCACTGGATTGTCGTGTTCAGACTCGATTATGTACAGACTGACGTCATATGTAGTTGGACTATTGCTGTGTGCGGTGTTAAACAAAAAACAAATAATGCAATATATCTGATCATGCGTCATACCAGGATTGCAGTGGACGTTGCTCATTCAATCAACCACTAGCTTGCCTGTTGCTGGCTCGACTGTTTACAGACCGCCGTAATATTGCAAACTGCGGCATAAACATACAAACAAAACTACCTTGCTGTTTCTACACCATCAAACAAAGTTACCTACCTGTTTCTACTCCGGCAGACACAAAAGATCTGAGAAAATACATGGCGATCATCGCTGGCAGCGGAGTACAGAGCGGGATGACGGCGGAGAAGATGCTGCTGCCGACGAGGCAGGCCGCCAGCAACAGCAGCTTGTTACACTTGTCGTACAGAAACCCACTGACGAACGCACCGACCGTAAAGCCAACAGCTCCTGATGTGAACAGGGCCGAGGCCTGCTCCACCTTCGTGTTCGTGATCAGCATGAGGTCAAGGAACGATGGGCCACTTTGGCCAGCAGCAAAACCCTGCAGAAAGAGTGAAGGAATAAATGTTTGTTAGTTGTTTAACTCCGCCCTCAGCAGTACTCAAGCTATATGACGGGGGTCTGTAAATAAACGAATCTGGACCTGACAATCCAGTTGTCGATACTGTGAGCAACGATTCATGCCGTCAATGCTCGATGGATTACATGTCCAAATCGCCGAGCCTGATCTGTGAATCCGTGACCAAACCATCATCTAACTGACAACAGAGTATGCCTAGACATAGTTTTATTCTGAACAAGAATTAAACATTGTACAAACGTTTTGTTTGTTGATTATTTAACGCCGCACTCGGCAGTCTTCCAGCTATGATTTATCGAAATTATCGAGCCTGGACCAGATAATCCAGTGATCAATGTTGTGAACACGCCGTCGGGTACGATGACACGCATTCAAAGTTTACAAGTCCCCGAACATGACCATGGCGGCCACCCGACCCGTTTTGTCGTCTCATACGACCGGCATACGTTCAGGGGGTGGGAGGGTTTATTCATGAATGAGTGAGTTTGGTTCACGGTCGCTTTGAACAGTACGCCAATTATATCACGGCGTTTCTTCGTGATGTCAGCGTCATTATTACGAGATCTTTTACACCTCTCTGCGTGGAAATCTGACCTCCATAGAAGGTTGCATCCGGTGACTCTCAATGTACTTTGTTACTCCGCCTAACTTAATGAGGGATGCGTTGGTTCTTGTATTAAATATCCATACCAACAGAGCTTGGCTTTATTTGTTTGCACTCGGAACGTCTTGATTACATTCGTTTTCGAGGTACAGAAATCAGATGTATGAATGTGTCCCACGTTCATACGGACAATTCAGAAGCCTTGACGCTGAATGGTGGATTAGTCGGGTCACCTGACGCGACCTTCTAGTAATCAATAGATATCAATCACTGAACTCACCAGAACAAGAAACGCCCAGAACAGGAACAGTGTACATATGAACTTGTTCTTGTAGACGGGGTCTTCGAAATGTTCCTTAAATTGTCCAAAAGAAGATTTCCTTGCGGGTTTCCTTATCTCAACGTCAATGACCTCCATTGTTACTGGTACTGAAACAGAACACGCAACGCAATGGAATATGCCACATATGGTACTTGCCTGTATGAGTGATCTCATGGAGGTATTATGTGTGTGTGTGTGTGTGTGTGTGTGTGTGTGTGAGTGCAGTTGTTAGACGTTTAAATCATTAGTTGGTTCTACTTTGTATTGATGAGTGGACGAATTGCAGTACAGAAACCCATACTCGCTATCAGCAAACTATCACTTGACTAGTTAAATGTACCCCCCCCCCCCCCCCCCCCCCCCCTCTCTCTCTCTCCAGTTCTTATAAGTATCTGCTCAAGTCCACACACACACACACACACGAATACTACTCCGTGATGCCGTGATTCGCTGTGAAACGATGTAGTCCTCAGACGTGGCAGAAAAAGATATACAATCGTGGGTATTATGACACCTTTCAGCAGCCAGAGCTATCTAGGCCATACTCGTTGCCTTATCCCTCTTATCCGAAGCAGGTATGCAAGCCAAACTCACCTGCACACGTTACTCGGTCGTAGCCTACACACTCAACGTGCCTGTCACTGTGGCGTATTGGTATGGGTGAGTATCTCACCCTCCAGCGTTATGAAGCAGATAGCGAGGGTTGTGTCGGTCTTCAAATGGGTGTATTATACTGATCTTCCGCTGACAAGTCTTGTTTTGGCGGAGAGATAAGGGACGCGGTGACCTCAGTACGTTGACAAAGCGCAAGCGTGTCAAGAATATGGAAGACAAGAAGGGACATTGTCGCATTGTCTGATTGTCGCCCTTTGGTAAAGTAATACAAAATATTCAAAGCACGACAATGCGACAAACGACCAAAATATAGCGTTATCACATTGTCGCATATCGCGCTTTGGTTATTTTTTACGATTTTGTTTTTGTCAAGGGCTACTATGCAACAACGCGACAATAGCCCCAACTAGGATTCCATCCAAGACACAGATTACAGCTATGGAAGGCGTGTGGATGTGCTTTAGTGCCTTGTAGAACCTCAGTGACAGAAACGAAAGGATTAGGTGTGTGTGTGTGTGTGTGTGTGTGTGTGTGTGTGTGTGTGTGCGTGTGTGTGTGTGAGCGTAGTTGTTAGACGTTTAAAACATTAGTTGGTTCTACTTTGTATTGATGAGTGGATGAATTGCAGTACAGACACCCATACTCGCTATCAGCAAACTATCATTTCACTAGTTAAATGTAAAAACTGCCCCCTCTCTCTCTCTCTCTCTCTCTCTCTCTCTCTCTTTCTCTCTGCAGTTGTTGTAAGTATCTGCTTAAGTCCACACACACACACACGCGAATACTACTCCGTGATGCCGTGATTCGCTGTGAAACGTTGTAGTCCTCAGACGTGGCAGAAAAAGATATACAATCGTGGGTATTATGACACCTTTCAGCAGCCAGAGCTATCTAGGCCATACTCATTGCCTTATCCCTTTCACCTGCACACGTTACTCGGTCGTAGCCTACACACTCATCGTGCCTGTCACTGTGACCTCAGTATGTTGACAAAGCGCAAGCGTGTCAAGAATATGGAAGACAAGAAGGGACATTGTCGGATTGTCTGATTGTCGCCCTTTGGTAAAGTAATACAAAATATTCAAAGCACGACAATGCGACAAACGACCAAAATATAGCGTTATCACATTGCCGCATATCGCGCTTTGGTTATTTTTTACACTTTTGTTTCTTTCAAGGGCTACAATGCAACAACGCGACAATAGCCCAAACTAGGATTCCATCCAAGACACAGATTACAGCTATGGAAGGCGTGTGGATGTGTTTTAGTGCCTTGTAGAACCTCAGTGACAAAAACGAAAGGATTAGGTGTCTGTTCAAACATATCCTTGAACGACTAAGAGACGTTACTCTGCACATGATCAAACTCTATTTAAATTAGGCCGCTTCAGTGGTCCAACGGATAGCGCGTCTGCCCGGAGAGTGGAAGATCGGTGTTCGATCCCCGGCCACGTCATACCTTGTCTTATGGTACTTGTTGTTTCCCTGCCTGGCGCTCGGGCATGAATAGGATAATAGGCTTTACTGTGTCTGAATGTGCTCTCCATGTTAAACTGCGGTATCTCACGAGCATGCAGTGCAATAATACTGAACGCGACGTAAAACGCTATTTCACCTCACCTCACTAATTGAACTGCATTTGAACAGGCTCCCAATTATGTAATAAGATACTTGCTTCTGTAAAGATCGCCATGTGTGCGGACTGTACAAAAGTATCTTATTTTTCTCTCTTTAGTTGGTAATGTATTTAAAACATTTTTTTCTAAACCTATCAACATACATGTGTCGTTCAATTAATCAGACATTATGTCCAAAAGAATTACAAAACAGTTATGTCGGAAAATGAGTCCAAATGTTTGACCCCATGTATCTCTGTAATAAATATGAATTGAAGCTTGTGAGGTGAGGTGAAATTGGGTTTTACGTCGCGTCCAAGATTATTGCACTGATATAGCGACGTGCATGCACGTGTATGTGTGTGTGTTGCTGCTTGTACTAGTCCGGACTGATGCCGATTTATAGTGCTAGCTCACTGAGATACCATGCCGCAGTTGAACATGAATACCCCACTCAGACACAGTATACTGACTCCGAGCCGACCAGTCCTTATTTTAGCCCCTTAATGCCGAGCGCCAGACAGGGTAACAACAAGTACAATCTTTTAACGTCTTTTTGTATGACGCGGCCCGGGATCGAACCCTGGACCTTCCGCTCTCCGGGCGGACGCTCTACCACAAGACCACGGAGGCGGTCTGAAGCTTGTGAATTGTATTTTTGTTTTCTGTAGTTTTAAAAATACAATAATAAGTACAAATGTGATTTTTCAACCATATTAAGATCCCCTATCTAATGGACGGTCACAGGTGTTTCTTTGCGAAGCAATGTACGTAGTATGTTGATTTCAATTATGTCGATATAAGTTGAATATATGTCACAATTTATTGCGAGCCTTTGTACTACATCAATGAATGGCTGGAGAAAACGTTTAGTTACAGACAGCATCGTCGATTCGTTGTGTTGACGAAACCAAAAACAAACAGTATCAGAACCTTGTGGTAACAAAATGCAAATCAATATGTTAGTTAAGCTTCAGGCAAGTGGCACATGGCGATAATCCACGACCTGGAAACGTCCCTTGTGGATTTCTGGGCAGAATAAGTCCCTTGTGCCAAACACAAATCTTGTCGATAGACTAAAATTTAACCCAATGGGAATTCTGGGTTGGAATATTGGTCCCCATCAACCTCAGGTGGTCGGAAGAGGCGACCAAATGGAACAGGTGGTCAGTCTCAGTGACTTGACGGATAACGTATCATCGTACACCGACTGCGTGGAGCGTTGTTCACTATATCGATCACTGGATCGTCTAATCCAGACTCGTTTATTTACATTTCGTCTTCATTTTGCTTGACTTTGTACACTGTTAATAAAAACAAACGCACAGGTAGATTTTTAGGAAATATATTGTACCTAATAAAGTCGATATATTTATTTTCAAATCATAGATACAAATATGAAATATTGGTCCTCGATAGCCACATGTTATCGCTGTACACAGGCATTGAAAACTGTTCTTTGTCATGTCACATAAGGCCACAAGTTTGCGCTGAACTCACGTGTGACTGCCCCGGGCTGCAATCACGGCTCTGCATCTCCTCGGCACTGACTGGATAAGTGTACGAATTCTGTCCTGTGGTATTCTGCGCCATTCTGCTTGTAACGCGTTGGCCAGTTGTGGGAGTATCTGCGGGAGTATCTGTTCTGACGTTGACTACACGTCGATCGCGTTTATCCAAGAGGTGCTCGATTGGGTTGACATCTGGATATGGCCCCCCACACCAGAACACTACCGCCACCGAATTTGTCGAGTTGACATACACAATGTGGGACAAAACGCTCATTTCGACGACGATAAACACGTTGTTTTCCATCTCGCCGATGAAGAAGAAATCGTGATTCATCGCTTAATCACACTCGACTCCAGTTTCTCAAATCCCAAGGCTGTAAGGCATGGCACCAACACAAGCGTCGCTGTCGATGGACCTGTTGCAAAACAGGGACGATAACTGGTCTTCTGGGTTGGATTTCAGCCTCGCGAAGATGGTTCCTGACATATATCCGATATCCTCCTCAAACCAGGGATGCGTCCTGCAGTCTCCGTAGCTGCGGCATTGCGATGACGAAGGTGGAACATTCGAATGGAGCGATCCTGTGCAGGGGTGGTTACTCTTGGTCGGCCGGTTCTCGGACGATCTGCACTGGAATTGAACAGTGTATATCAGTCACAAAGGCGGCAAATGGTGCTGTGTTGGCGGTTGAAGTGTCGTGCAACAGAAGACTGCGATTCCCCTCTTTGCATACGTCCTATGGTGATGTTCAGATCGGCAGCGCCGAGTCTCTGCTTTTTCGTACTTGAAAAATGTTGACCGTTGAATGACAAATTATTGGCTTATGCTTGTCTTTTTATAGCCACCACCACGATTTACGAATGCCATAACTCGCACGTGCATTTTGCTTTACTGTTTTCCTCCATGACATTTTTGAAGAAGTCTCAAAACAATGCTGCTTAAGACATTGCAAATCGACCATGGCTGCGTTGTGACGCACCGTTTGTCGAATATCAGGCCACCAACATTTTCCAATAACAAATATCCAATTTATATACCGGATTATTTGTGGAGTTAGGCTCAATGAACTACATTCTGCCTGTGCGTTTCATTTTTTGAAGAGTGTTACTGTCACATTGCTCACGAATTATAAACCTAATTTTGATAACTGCAGTTATAACTCATTATCCTTTCTACAGGCATCAATACCAGGAACGAGGTCTTACTCCCAGAGTAAAATCTGGGAAGAGGTTTTACTGGAGTTCAGTAAAACTCCTTCCCAGGTTTTACCGAGAATGAACCCTCGTCCCAAAACACCCAAGTAGGCTTGAAACTCTTTGTATATCACCAAAAAGAAAAGGCAAACTATTCATCAGATTTCTTTAATGACAATAAAAGGACATTATGAAATTTGACTCTGGTTTTGCTTGACTCTGGTTCAGAAGGCGGGACAGACATAGTCGATGCAACGTTCTTCTTGGAGTTTTCTTCGCTCTTTGGAACTTTGCAAGCCAACACATCTGAAGCCATTGCCTTTTGTTCATCACTCGTTTGTAGACCCTCACTGCATCAGTCCTGTGCCCTGGAAGTGAGTGAGTGAGTTAATATTTAACGTCACATCGGCAGTATTTCAGCCATATCGTGACGAGAACTGATATAAAATACAAAGATTTGAATGGATTAAATATCTGTCATCGAAGGACAGTAAAAATAACTAGAGTATCACAGTTTGGATTTTAAAACTAGTTGAGAACATTTAAAAGAATACATTTTCAATCAACAATACAATATAAAAATGGGCTATAGATCACCAGCAACCAAAGTTAGGACACCTTACTGGGGACCGTGGGGACTGACAATACTTTTGCTACCTGCACGACTCCCCAGCAGGATTTACACCATCCCTTCAGCCGCTGGTGATTATATGCAATTTAGCCAACACTTAAAATAAACAAATATTCTACGTCTAAAACTGTGGCAAGAATAAATGTACTTTGAATGATGTGGTCTTACATATCCTCTCAGGGGGACAATAATTTTACGTTACTTCAACCCCCTTCAAGG